ATGCCATATCACATTGCAACGGACACTGACTTTGTGACGGGTCAAATTCGGGAGTTGATACAAAAAACTAACAACCTCGAAAATCGTGAAATTCTGTTGGGATGGATCCCCTGCCATGTTGGGATTTTGGGTAATAAGAGGCAGATAATCTGGCAAACATCGGCAGAATACTGAATGTTCCTAAGGACATTTCAGTGCCGATGGGAGACATAGTGAACACAATTAGAAACGAGTTAATTTCGCAATTTCAACAAACTTGGAAAAAAATCTCGGTATAGCAGAGTTCAGGTGGACTTTTTGAGTTCTCCATGGTTTTATAAAATTCCTTTTTACCGAATGAGAACCGGACACTGTTTGACAAGAGAACGTTTATTTAAATTGAACCTTAGAGACGACCCCTTATGTGATTGCGGTTCCGTGGATCACCTAGACCACATATTTTTTGAGTGTCCAATTCACCACGTACCAAACTTTAATATATATCAAGAGCTTGTGAAGATAGGCGTTAAAACGCCCATTAACATGACAGTTATATTTGGTCATCCAACGGAAAAGCCAATCAATGCAATCATAAAATGTTTAACTATTAATAAATTTCAACTGTGAAAAATTTCAAAATAATTGAATGTTGCAGTGTTGGGTTCAACTGCCAGGTGTGACGTCAGCCCTACTCCTGTGTGTTTAGCCATTGTGTAGTAATTAGCTAACCTTTGTTGTTTGAGTTACTAAACCCCACTTTTCTCAACTTTTAACGGAGTTTGTGTTCACGTTATTTGATTCGGGGCCTTGCAGTGCTCTGAGACTGGAAGAATACGTCCGAGGGTTGGGGAGTGCAAGCTCGTCTATCCTGACCCCCCTTCAAATCGAGCTGGCAAATTGCTGAGAGCAGAGCAAAGAAACGACAAAAAAAACTGGGTATGCCACTGGGATATTTTTGGCGACACATTCTATGGATACCTCAACTGCAGTTAGTTCCAGCTGGAGTAGGGGCAGTGATCACCCCAGTAGGGAACCTCTCAGGTCTTCCAATGAATAGCGGTTGTTGATGTGAACAAAAAAAGATTCACAGTCAAAGGGGCACCAAAATACTAACGGAAATTACCCAGGCTCGGCTCCAATCAAATTTAAAATAGTAATAAAAACAAAACTTAAGGATGTGGCAGTTGAGCCTGAGTGTTTTCGCTAAAAATTAAAATTAATTAACTGAACAACACTCAATGATGAACCTTAACTGAATACAATTTGTGAATAAAAAAAAGTTGAAATGAAGTCAATGGAAACAAAAACAATACGATTGTCACCAGCAGTTGGGCGCCAGTATGTTTTTTCGGTAACATACAACTCGTTTTTAGTCGAAGGTCTCGATCTCAAACTTCAACCACCATTGGTAGTATCAAGGCCAAAATGCACAGGATAGTAGCACAGCTATGTAGAGAAGTTGCAGGAACGGTAACCACGTGATCCTGGGGGCCAGTGCGGGTTCGTTTCGCTAGCTTCGTCTACCAAAATTTGACTTCAAAACTCTGCTTCGACGAATTAGCTTGTTTCCAATGGAAAGCTCTCCAGGAATATCTCGATATATAATCTACAAAAGAACCGACCATGCGGTGCCAATACCCCAAAAATTGACTTCTCTCGTCTATATTTCGACCTCGAATCTCGAATCTGCCCCACACCAAAAATCCTCTCCCCTTTTTCACGGTAAATCAAAATCATGGACTCGATTGGTCATCCTGACGAACATGCGATCAGCTCGCTATGTGGTCGAAAATTTTTGTACCGAGATAAGGCTGGTAAAATCTTCTCGGTTTTCGGTTTCAATGGCAAATTCGAACTTCATGACAAAAAAAATTATATTCAAGGCGCATTCGCTTGGCCACAATTAAAAATGAACGTAGCAATGGTCGAAGAAGAGCTTTTTGAAGAGAGTACAACAAATCTGGATTACTACGAACAAAAGGAAGGAGTAGCCATGAGAAGTCCACTCTGTCCGATGGTGGCGAATCTAATCATGGAGAAGTTTGAGGAAACAGCGTTGAGCACCCCTTAAACCAACGACCTGATACCCATATGTCGATGACACATTCGTGCTATGGAGGCATGGAAAATGTTGGTATTTTGTTGTTTTTTTTCCTCTCTCTGATTTCTGAGAGTGCGCAAATTTCGATTTTGGCCGAAGCCTTGGGACAATTTATTATAAAAATGCCATTTTTGGAAAGACACTTTTATTCTAGTTTTGTCTCAGACCCTTTCTCGATTAATAACATGATGATTGAAGTCCCTGAGGCCCAAAACGTACCTACTCATTTTATAAAAATTTTATTTCAATATGAAAATACGTAGTCTGTTAAGGGAAACCCTGCGATAAAGCGAAAACAAGCTCAAGCAGAAGGCAAATAAACTCATCGTCAAATCAATGCAGCCAAGGAAGTTTCACACTTGATTACCAACGTCATCTGAAAAGCGTCATGTTAAAGTTGTTTCATGTTTTTTTTGTGAAGCTTCTATTATTACATACTTAAAATGCCCCTGTTTATCTATTCTATAACGAAAGTGTAGATTATTACACCCTCCCGGTTTAAAAATAGTTTTCTGAGACATGCGTAATATCATATAAAAAGAAATAGATTAATATTTTGTATACATATCCGCCCTATGTACCTTCATTGTGAACCCTCTACAGTTTACTACCACTATTGAGAATGCAGACAATATTTAAAATGTTGACATGTTTGTCCCTCGTGTTGGATTTTTAAGAGCGCCCAAGCTTTCTATTTAGAGAATCAATTTATTGTTGACTTTAGAAGTTCCACGGTCGCTATTAAAAGAATATACAAGAAATAGGAAAGGTGCTTTGACGGAAATTCTATAGCGGAAGACCGTATTGTGCAAAATCTTGTTTACTCGTTCATATAGGTACGTCGCTTCCTGCTCCAATCTTGTCGGCCGGTCTTCTTTGGTCGATTTGAAATGGGTTTTCAATACTGATAAATACCGATAAAATAGCATCGGTTAAGATGGGTAAGAATTATACACTTTGAGACAATTACAATTTTAAAGTCTGAACAGAGCTTGCAATGGACTATTTGCACCTTTTCTGAATTGCACTTGAAATTGCAATTTAAGAAGCAGCATCCTTGACCATCAGGAGTTAATTCGTTCGCCGATTTCTTTCACTTAGCGTTTAACTCGAGAAACAGTTTCAAAGAATTCCACGAAAGCTCGTAAGGCGATTAATTATTAATTTTAGGGATCCGTGGTACCATATGCCAAAACCTCGCAAAATTTATTTGCCAGGCAAAATGTCCTTTCAATAATATCAAAACCACAGGATTTAGTTGCGTACTTAGTAAACATTTTTTTTTGCAATTTCTGAATAGGTAAACAATTTTGGTAACTTACGTCATTTTATTTATTTAACCAACATATTTAATTATTTGACTGATTTTTGTATATTGTATATATCTGATATCAACTGACTGATTTTTGTTTTTGAAACTTTTTTTTGAAATTAATATTGCGTCACAAAACCTCCTAAGTTTTTGCAAAAAGTTTAAATTTTAAAAGTCGAAACATTTTCTTAATCAACAAAAATTTAAAAAAAGTATGTATATCCCCAGAAAATGCTTCAGCATATCACATTATTTAAATTAAAATACCTTTTCAATTTTCTCAATTAAAGAATGTAACCGTTTTTAGCTGTAAATTGATAAAAATACTTATGAGGTTCTGCACTTTAACCATCGATTGTCTCGACATATACGAGTGATCGCGTTAATATTATTA